GAATAACCAGTCTCTCCTTACTCCTTCCCATATACTCACCCCTCCCACTAAACATGAAACATTAACAGTCTTTTTTGTAACGTTTCTCATAGAGACTTTTCTTGATATATTTTTAAAACAATGCTGAAATATCCCATAGATGTTTAAATTTTAACATCATATTCATTAACATTCCTGGCACATATCTACAAATGAAATTTTATGTACGCTGGAATACTTCAATTAGCAGTTACATAAACATCTTTTGTACTTCTTTTTAGTTACTTCCTGTGACAAACATACGATGTTAATTTGTATAACTCACAATAATATCGCATACAGGTCAGCACAGTAATGTGTTCAAGTTACACATTTTTAAGATGGCTATCTTTAGTCTTTACATTGCAGACTTGGCAGACCTAACAGTTCGTCTTGCATTCATAGATGGAGATACCAATGATCGCTTGCTACTTACGCAACCGGTAGTACTGTATTATGAAGGAGTCTGATTGATGCTCAGTGTTAAGTATTTCATCAAAGTTCTTACTTTTACCTTTGATATTGATTTAGACCATTGTATTATCATACTTTTTCTGGAAAATTTCCTGGGATTAGAATAGAAGTTTAACTTGTCTTCTAAGCTTTTAACTTCAATTTTATTTATTTCTATTCCGTTTTATATAGATGAAATATATAAAATATGTATAGTCCATATATTTAGATAAAAATAAAAAGGTATGAACGTCACATTTAATTCATTAATATGATTTTATTTTATGGGCTTTATAATAACATCTACAAGAAGTAAAATAACTTTCTTTGATACAACAGGAATGTCACATCTGGTTTGTTAAAAATACATCATTTTTGGGAATTTCCAGTAACGTTGAATAACGTAACAAAGTAGCGCTATAATATTACCGCAACGTCTACATTGTTTCATCACAAAAGTAAACGTCCCTACTCTGGTCTTAGACGGTTATGAGTCCATCCTATAGATGAAAACAAGAGTAAAAATGAGAGTTACAATGTAACAATGTGATGTAAAGTTCTCATTAATTTAACGTTTTTATGCATAGTGGGCTTCAACAAACTTTTTAATCTATTTTTTATATATTTATCCTACTCAATGTCCTTGCGTGCTTCATTTTTAATGCATTTAACCTGGTTAAAACCTCTGATTTCTTGTAAAACTATTTTGTGCGTTGATTCCGAAATGAGAAACTTTCCCACCCAACCTCGTACACCATTATTTTGATGATCTGTTGTGTCCCAATGTGATGTGAATATTCAACAAATTAATCGGACAGCAGCCGCATTAAATTCAGTAACAAACATCATAGTATAAAAAATAAAAACAAACATTAATTTGGCATCCAAGACTATTATTCGTTGTCCATGACTCGGAGTAGAGAAATTTGCATCAAATTTTGGACGTATACTTTTACTCAGAGATAATTTTTCTTCTTCCACATTTAAAAATTAGTATTATTAATATATCTGTATATATACGTGTAATTTGACTAAAAGACACCGCACAGTCAATACAATGTATGTCGATGACTAAGGGCCGATTCCACCGTTGTGTTAAACGGAGATTAAAATAACATTGTTAATGTAAAAATGTCATTTTAAACTTCGTTTAACACGACGGTGGAATCGGTCCTAAAAGCACAAATGTTGTATGTTCAAAAATGTCGTTTTGAGTAAAATCGATTTGCAAGTTAGAGGTGACTATGACGAGCTGTATAATTTTTATTAGCATTACTTTACTGAATGGTAAACCTATTTAAGTGGACGTACTATATTTGGAAACCATAAAGATTTCATAATGAAAGATATAGAATCCTACCAATCCCATTTTCGACAAAAATGGACACACAATATTTGTGCTCTTAACCATCGATGTGGACGTTCACGCACTCGGATTTATTGTACTTTTTGGAACCTATATATGGATGTTATTTGTATATACTTACACCTTGAATATAAATGTTTATTATATTTTTAGAATTAATTTGAGGTTTGATGAAAATTAAGGGGTTACTTTTAATATATATTAACTGACACTGTAAATTTAAAACAGTGGCCACCATTTCACATTTTAATACAGCTCGACCAAACTTTTAATTATATAAAAAAAATTCAACTTTATTAGGATTTAGTACAATTTTTAGACTATTTTTAATGAGTATAATAAAAGTATAGTTATTTAAAATCTTACAAGGTGGCCACTGTGGCCGCTTTGTCGGATACAGTGGCCACGTAGCAACATGACAGTGTCCATTACTTATCTTTATTTTTAAATTTAATGCAAGGTGACATATTGAAGAATACACAAACAAAAGGAAAATACTTTATTTATTGAAAGTAACATTAAATTATGAGCACAAAATATAAAAAAATAAACAAAGTGAACTAAAAACAACTAGTTGTACCACCTGCAAGGTATGGGTCGGGTAAGTGCAGTTCTATATCTTCTAGAGGAACACTACTTATGTCTTCTACGTCTGGAATACGAAATGTTTGCCATGCTTTCTCAAAAAATGTATTTCATATTCACCATCATCAGTTAATGTTATCACCTTTTCAACATAATATTTGACTGTTTTTTTTTTGACGCAAATTTTACCAAAACAAATGAATTAACATTTATTACGGTAATTTCTTTAATTTTGTCGCTGTCCTTTAGTTTACAGTAATCAACATCATCCGAATTTACCACATCAGGTAAACTGATATCACTGTCACTAGAGTCAGATAATTTAGTTCTTTCCTGTCACTTGACTTTTTTTTGTAACGGTTAAGTCTAAGTCTTCGCCAAAACACTTCCGTTTGACTCGAGATGTTTTTTTTGTTCGTATTTTCTTTTCTCTGCCTTTTTTCTTTAACTCTTTCATATTACTGGATTATCTGTTAATATTTCTGTGGATTTTCTCTCTTAGTTTACATTTTTTCTTTTTCTTTAACTTGTGGGCAGAGCAACAACTGTCCTGGAGTTACAAAAGATTTCTCTGGTGTTTGATGTACTTGTTCTGTGGTCGATCATGCCGTTATAGTCGGATCATCAAACTGTGGAAGATTTCTGACTAGCGGATCCTTGCTTGTGCTTGGTTAAGTCAAATCATCGTCTAGGATGTCAGTTGGCTTGGAGGCCAGAAAGTTGTGTTCACTGAATATCGTGTCATTAAATGGAAAAATTCCGGTATCTCTAAAGCCAGAAATGCAATTTCTCGTGCAAAATGCCTCTCGATATGCTAAGCCTAATATTTCTGTAATGCCATAAATTGTTATTCTTTTCCCGACATTATTAAGTAACCAAGACGAGCAATGATTATAGACCTTTTCATCATGTGATGAGCGCAAGCGCAGCCACCATGTTGAAATAGCGGTAATTCAAAAGTTTCGTACTGTTTTGATCGACAATGGCTGGGAAAGCAATGTTATCTCTACAGAAAAATTAATCATTAGAAAAAATCGTTGATAGTGAATAACTTTTTTATAACTCTGTGGAAGCGCATAGTTGTGAGCAGTTGAAAAGGAGGTTGAAGTGTCTTGGATGTTTGTTACAAAGGAACAAAGTGGACTAATTGAGAGGTTAGGTGTATCAATACTTTTTAACTCTGTAAAAAATTAATGAAAACAAATAATAATTATAACTTTATTCTAATTAATTATGCCAACCAACTATTACTACTTGCAAAAACACTTTAATTAGCATGAAAGTTAATCACGAGTATAATTAATAAAATAAATTATTTATTATTTTGAGGATCAACATGACATTTTTAATCATTTAATGTGTATACCGAAGTAGTATTTAATATTAAAAAAATATTGTTTAATACCACATGCGAATTTTCTTCTGTTGGACCACTTTCTCCATGAAAATGCAGTGAAATATAAGTATCTTTAGTAACATCATTAATCCATCGAAAACCGTTGTCACTTCGACCATATTTTTTTACACTTAATGCACATTTCGAATATCTTTTAATATGGATTTTGCCTGATAATTGTTTACGATATTGCAGTTAAGGCTTTGGAAAATTTATAAAATAATATCTATTGCCTTTGAATGATTTATACCGTGTGTCACTTTTACATAATAACACTGTTTTGTTATTCCTTTCCGTACAGATAACATAATTATAATTGATTGTGAAAATGTATTTTTCAATTAAGACACTAAACTTATTATTACTTTACTTTTTTCTTCCTTTTTTTAAATGAATATAGACTTAAATTAATATTTATCAATTATAATTTTTTTCACGTAAGCATTTTAACATAGGTACTTGTTTACTCCGAGCAAGAGCTTGTTTACAAAAACAGTACGAAAAAGATGGCTGAAACTGACGCATGCGCACAAAAAAAAATTGTGATGAAAAGGTCTATTATAATACCGCTTTAGGGGGCCATAAATGCTTTTGTCAAGTGGCTGTAGCTTATAGCTAGTACGTGGAGGAAGAGTTAGTAACTTGACGTGGTTTTTTCTTGACATCTCAATAATCGCTAGAAACATGGCTCTCGTGATTATCCATGATCAATAGGATTAGACTGTCAGCAGAAGGCTTAGCATGACGAATCAAATACCGAAACCACTCCACAAATATTTACGAGGTGATCCATCCAGAGGGAGAAGCAAATCCTATGGTATCAGGAGGAGTGTTCTTTATCATGTGCTCCTTATAAAATATTTTCTGGGAAAAATAAGAAGTAGGGGGATTGTATTACCATCTGCATTAATAGCGCCTACCATGGTAACAAGAGTTCTCTTTCTCCGGAAGTGATCTGGATTCTGCACTGTTGGTAAAGCGGTTTCATGTCCGAACAAAAGACCATACAACATGCAGCAGTAAGGCATAAACAATTGTTTGAGGTTATGTTATGAATCATGCAAAATATACATCAAAGCTAGATAATATAGGGTGGACTCAATAATAATTTTATCGATTAATATTTTCCTTTGTAATCAATGTTGTGAAGATATTGTGTCTAATTATACCTTTCTTTTTCAGTTATTCGGAAATGGACATAGAAAGAACCCCGAGCCACGACCTAAAATGCACGATATGCAAAAATTACCTCAACATCGCCCCGATAGTGACTTCAGATGATGGCAAAGTAACGAAATGTGGCAGATGTCAGTACAAAGGACCAGCTTTGAACAACAGAAATAGTTTGTACGAATCGATAGGTTCAAAATTAAAATTCCCCTGTATGAACGAAGAATGCAAAACTAGATTAGCCTGGTCGGAAGTACAACGACACGAAAAGTCCTGCCAATATCGTAAAGTATCCTGCCCGTTCTACAACTGCAGAGACAAGGACGTATCGTTTGTTTTGCTGAGCGATGTTGGACATTTCGAGAGCTGTCATCCGGGCGTGATGCACTACGGACCAATTACGTTGAACTTTAAAATCGTCATCCATCACCAATCATTTCTAAAGTTGTTAATCATCAACGATGTACCGTTTTTGATGTTCATACATTGTCTCAAATTTGGCGAAGCCGCTGTTCTGATAGGCGTATTCTCGTGCGACAGCAAATCGTACGACTACGAAATCCGAATTCGTTCGGATACCGAGAATCAGCGACAAGTCGTTATGAAAGAGAAAGTTCGGCTGTACGATGAAAACCTGCATTGCCTTTACTGCTTACAGAACATCTGCTTTCTCGAAACCCATAAATATTCCAAAAAATATCCCGACAATCAAAGCAAAAAGTATAAATACTATTCGAATATCGACATAACGTCGGCCAAAACTTTGCTGAAAGCCGAAAATTTAATGTTCGACGTCAGCGTACAAGAACACGAAGAGGGGGAAAAGAACAGTATTATCAGTAGAAATAGCGACTAGTTTTTAATCATTAACTGTTTTCTTATTTTTACGATACCTATTTTGTAAGTGTTATTTCCTTATATATGTATAAGTGTTTTGTGATAGTTTTGACACCGTGAGTTGTTTTACATTATAGTTACGATATGTACCTCTTCGTAAAATATATTCCAAGAATTTTATGACCAAACAAATATAGTTACTGTTGAATAAATATTTCTTTTAAAATGTCGTTTTGCTTTAACAAGGGCATTGCTGGGAAATAAAGTAGGTACCTTATTTGTTTCGTTAATGTACAGTTTTCAGAATACAAGATTTAGGGGGGTGTACAATCTGCCGTAAATCTGAAGATATTTTTGAATCACAAACTGAAGTTTTAACTTAGAATTTCTGAAATTATGTATTTAACAATCCAAGGTTAAAACAATCTCGATATTTATCGGATTAGCTATACTGTTTTGTGAAACTGCAACTTCATAGAATTCATAAAAGATAAAGAAAATAACAGGATAACAGAATTAAATAAAGACGGAAGGAGTTAATGTTGATTTTGAAGTTTGCTGTAGCCATGCTGTAGCTACTTTCAAAAACCCTCATTTTGATTTTGTTCTCTGTTTTTGATTTTGTATTGTTTTTGCATACGTATTATTAGTTATTAATTATTATTATTTTTATTATTAAATATTATTATTGAAATATTTAAAGAGCTGCTTCCGACGAGGCCTTTCTAGAATATCAATGACTTCTTGGTCGTCTAATAAAATATTTTCAAATATGCTAAAAATATCCATTTTTATAATGAACTGCAAACAGTGTAAACTACAAACTACAAGTAAACAAATAATTATATTATTAGATTAGAATGAATCTCTTTTCTAATACGCTCTTCTAGTGCGCCTGTATAAATACCTATAATCGGCAATCCTAAGTTTTACGTTTTACGTTTCTTCCAAAATCAATAGATTTACGGTCGCATTATAACTTGTACAGCGCTTATTGTTATAAATCTTAAGATTTTCCTACAAAATTCAGATTTACCATAGGCATTTTCATCATGTGATGAACGCAAGCGCCGCCGCCATGTTCGAATAGCGGTAATTCAAAAGTTTCGTACTGTTTTGATCAACAATGGCTGGGAAAGCAATATTATCTCTACAGAAATCTCAATCATTAGAAAAATCGTTGATTATAACTTTGTGGAAGCACATAGTTGTGAGCAATTGAAAAGGTGGTTAAAGAGTCATGGACGTCCGCCACAAGGGAAAAATGGGTGTTGATTGAAAGGTTATAGGTATCAATACTTGTTTACTGTGTAAAAAATTAATGAAAACAAATAATAATTATATCTCTATTCCAATTAATTATGCTAACCAACTATTAGTACTTGCAAAAACACTTTAATTAAGATGAAAGTTAATCACGAGTATAATTAATAACATAAATTATTTAATATTTTGAGGATAAACATAACATTTTTAATCATATTACTGTGTCTACCGAAGTAGTATTTAATATTAAAAAATATTGTGTAATACATTAAAAATAATTTTTTCAGGGAAATAGATGCACTCAAAAATAATATACCTGTCGATCCTGTAGTAACATCATCAATCGATCGAAAATCTTTGTCACTTCGACTATATATTTTCACCCATAATGCACATTTTGTATATGTTTTAATATGTATTTTGTCCGATGATTAGATACTTTTTTACGATATTGCAGGGAAGGCTTTGAAAAATTTATAAAATATTTATAAATATTGCCTTTGAATGATTTATTCCGTGTGTCACTTATATGCCTTCTCCATAACAACACCGTTTCATTCTTCCTTTTCGTACAGATAAGATAATAATTATAATTGATTGCAAACAGTTATTTTTAAGCTATTGCATAGCTTTTATCGCGGGCTTTGAACGCGGCGACCGAATCAAGAAATTCCGTAACGCGTAACGAAAAAAAAACCACACCCCCCACTCCGACCGGCACAGCGGTGCGGCGTTAAACTTTATTAACTTCTCATTTATTCAATAAAAGAAAATCGAAAAATTGAAAAACCGAAAAATCGAAAAAGAAATTCCGTAACGAAAATAAACCTAACACCCCTCACGCAAACCGGCACGGCGTTGAAAGCCGTACATCGTCTAACGTCGTTTCAGTTCGGCAGACTTCGGCACGGTGTTTGTGTGCGTGCGACTAGACGTATGCGTTTAGACTAGCTGCTAACTGTTCATAACCGATTCTATCTCTTTTAGACACAATTCCGGAAAAATTGAATTTGAAAATGAATAATGATCCACAAGAATCCACAACAAAATATGGGACCACTATTGACGCGGTATTTTCCAGATATTTAGAGGATATCAAGTCTCAAACTTATGTTTCTTATTTCAGTAACCATAAACCTATAGTTTCAATGATAAAAATTCCCGAATAACCTACATGTATTGTAAGATAATAAAAATCTTTTAAACAATCATTGCGTTCGGTCTGCCAAGTTCCTTTAACTCCTTTAACACTTTTAACTCCAAACGACCCTTTTAGCGTTCGGTTTAGTCCGATTAGTGACAATTTAACACGCTTAAATGTCATTAAAAAGAATAGCCACGGCTAAACCTCGCCCATGCTAACTGTACAAAAATGTAATTATTTTGTGCAAATAAAGACCCGTTATTATTATTATTATTATTATTATTATTATTATTTAAAAGCACCCTAAAATTTGTCCCACTCCAGCCCCTGACTATCCGAACTCGCCTTATAATAACTTCTCATTTATTCAATAAAAGAAAGAAATTTGTTTTCTTATCGGTCACCATGCTCAAAAAGTGTAACTTGAATTAATATCAAAGAAAAAACTTGAATTAATATCAATAAAAAAAAATACTGCATAAATAAAATAAATAAATAATTATAATTGCATTAAGTTGATAAAAAATGCTATGCAATAGCTTTACCGCGGCAGTCCCCGAGTGCCACACGTATTTTTTATTTAAGACGCTTATTACTTCATTTTTGTTTTCCTTTTTTTAAATAAATATACTTAAAATTAATATTTGTCGATTATAATTTTTTTTCACGTGGGCATTTTAACATGGTTGTTTACAAAAAAAAAAACAGTACGAAAAAGATGGCCGACACTGACGCATGCCCACAAAAAATCTTTTTGATGAAAAGTCCTATTGTACAACTTGCCCTTATTAGGTAAATGTGAGAATATATACCAGTTTATAGTGAAATGTCACAATTTATGTAACCAGTTTTAATACAGTTAAAATAACACTTAAGAGCGATATCCATGGTTAGAAACAGGCTTAAAACGACTTCAAGGTTCTCTTTCTCAGTTTTAAATATTTTTTTATAAAATTTGGTATACCTACTAAGCAAATGATAGAGAACTCCGCTGTAGAGCCCGAATTCAGAAAAACTAATTTTTTAATTATTTCTATACAAATTATGAAAATTATTGCAAAAAGGAGTCTTTACCGGGAATTGTTATATAAAAATCAGCTAATTCTTTCCAATACACTTTTTTGTCCAAAGCGTATATTTTTTGAAAACCTTGAATTAGGAAATCTGAGAAAATCTGTCAAGATTCCAATCCATATTAATTGATTTGGCAACAAGGCGGCGGACGTTGGCGGTGCATGCAGTACCGAAAAATTGGGATAAAAATAAAATAATAAAAAACTTTATTCTTTTTAGTTCAAGTGTAGGTGTTTTTGTTTCGTATTTAGTCAATGTGTTTATATGAACTTTTATGTGTAAACTGAGTTATAATAATTTGTGGTAAAAATGGGAAAACTTTCGGAAATGCCGAAAATTATATTTCCGTTTCGACGGAAATCTATAAAATATCGTGCTAGATTACTTAGAAAAAGACAAACATTAGCACCCCTTCTAAGCATTAAAGTTAAAATATATGGGAAATTAATATACTAAGTATTGAATAAAAAAAAACCTTTAGCTTTAAAGCAATATTTACAAATTTAAAGCGGATATCCAATAAATGTGGTTTATTTGTGGATTCTGAATATGGTTTTTTAGGTTCCGACGGTTTATTAGGAACAGACAGTATTATCGAAATTAAATATCCTGCCACTGCTTCAAAACTGACTCCAAAAAAAGCAATGGTTGACAACATAATAAAATTTGCAATTATTAATGATAATGCGAAAATGCAATAATTGTTCAGGGGCAACTTAACGTAACTAAACGAAATATTTTTTTTTTTTATTTATTTTAATACCTTTAAGTATGTTAGTAGAAAAAATAAAAAAGATGATAGATTTTGGTGTATATGGAAAACAAACTAAAGCAATTTTATTTAGATTGTATACTACCCGAGATCTTAGATCCACGTTTCACTAGAGGTTTAGATATTAGAAATTTGAGTAGAAATCCGAGTAGAAATCCGACCAATAGTCAATAAAAATGATTATTTTATTCCTTCTTTTACTAATAATAAATCATTTTACTCAATGTTATTTTTAAATATTTTTAGTACTAGAAAACAATTTTTTCTACACCCAAATGGATAGCGTATCTACGTACAGACTACAAAACGAAAAAATATGCTATTGCGTAAAATGAGTTATACTTGTGTAGAATCGATAAATAATAGCATTTCTAGTTTTATTTGATCTATATTTAGAAATAAATAATTATAAATTTTAATTAAACTATATGAAATCAATTTAATTTATATTCACTCATGTTACACAAACTACTATTTTCTACATCCACATGGATATGCTTTTTTCTATACCCACATGAATATTAGCTAATCTACGCACATACTACAAAACAAAAAAGTATTCCATTGCGTTCAACTGAACGAATATATTTCATATTCATTCTACCTAGTAAGAACACTGCAAAACAGTTAAATCCACCAATCAGATTATATATTGGTCACCCGGCTACTATTATTTTTTAAATTTTATGTAGTCAAAGTAGCTGTCAGTATATTTTTGAATTATTGAGATTAAAATTTAATATACGTAAAAATGAATATTTCTTATGTATAATCGATAAGTAATAGAATTTCTATTTTTATTTCGTCCAAATTTATAAACAAATCTTAAATTTTAATCAAACCATATAAAACTAATTTTAATTTAAGTATTAGAACTATAATGGCAAGTGTGGCGACGGCACGGAGTTTGTCTCCAAGCGAGAGACCCGAGTTCCAATCAGGGCTGGGGACTAATTAAATTAAATCTT